GCCGGCGACGGTGTAGGCTGCCGCGGGCTGCCGTGAGCGACTGGCAGCCTGCGTGAGCGGCCGGAAGCTTGCATGCACTGGCGTGAGCCACTGTCCAATGGCCGGCAAGCAACTGCCTCACCCGGGAAGAGCGCAAAGATAATACCAACATGGGCCAGTGAAGCGACGTCCTCCACAACTAGACTGAAGAACAAAAAGACAGCAACTTGTCTGTTCCCCTACCCCGATCCCCCAACACTGTTCCCTCCCCCAATTCCCCAATAAAATCTTAAAAACAAAAAAATAATAAATAATTAAAGTAACTAAAAAGATTAAAAAGAACTAGAAAGCATAAGGCTGAATAAAATAATATATTTAAAAAAAATAGGCAGGTGCATGAGGATGTACAAGTAATGGTCAGACATTCTCAGAGATGGAAGACCTCACAAAATAGAGTGCTCCAAAGTCTTTCAAACAAAGAATATAAAGATCCACTAGATAATACAGTCCAGAAAAGTAAGAGCTACATGGAGAAGCCACATCAAAAAAGCTAGTGAAATACTAAATGCAGAAGACAATGGAGCAGTGTCTACAAAGTTGTAACGAAAAAAAAGCAGGCTGAAAACTTTATACCCAGCTAAGTTGTCCCTTGTGTATAAAAGCAAGAGAGCGATATTCTCAGATGTGCAAGGACTGAGGGGTACAGTCTATGAGGCATTCTTGAAGAAGCAGTGATAAAATCCATTCCACTGAGAGATGAATTAAAATTAAAAACTCAAGAATCGAGAAGGCTTAGTTTAAGTAGAAAAACCTGGTAGTGACTTCATTTAAATATAGAGCTATTATGAATCACCTGCAAGAATTGTGGTTATAGAACAAAATGCAAATATTTATAATGGGAAAATTAAATTATATAAGTAAAAATAAAGCAGGAGGTGGGACAAATGTAAGACTGCTGATTTCTTTATATTTCAGAACTGGCAATGAAATTGAACAGTTAAAAGAAAACATAATGATCCCAGTCACTTAATGATTTACACAATTTTTCTTAATTTTATAGGGATCTTTAAAGAATTAATACTTATAGTACAGCAAGAACATTTATCAATTATTGAAATCTTCA